CTTTGTACATGGACTTTGGTTACCTTGTTAAGAAAACAGCATGACAGAGAAGAGCTGCCTGCTTCAGTGAGCAGGAACAGGGAAGAACAGGGAGCCCTCACCCTCCATCAGCACTTATATTCTTTTCCTTTGTGGATCCAAGTTCCTTTGTGTGATACTGGAACCAGAGACAGAGGTCCCAAGTTCCATTTCGCTTACTGAGGAATTCATTCCACACTGGTTTAGTCTCCTCATCACTACCTCCCTCCATCTCATGTCCACCCACAATGTTGTTTGCTCATGGAGGACAGAAATCACAGCACACAATTTAGGAGGAACCAAGCAAAGAGCCCAGAGGGAAAATCAGTTCCAGTCCTGCCAAGGTGCCTTCACCTGGATTTGCAGAGTCCCTGACCTTGGCCTTCCCTAAGCAATATAGGATGGTTTGAGCAGCAGCTAAATCATCAGCACTGGATGGCTGCTCACAAGCAGGCCACTTGTGGGAATTGGCAAGTCTTTTCTAAATACTCACCAGCACAGGTTGAAGCAACCCTGCCTGGCTTGGAAGTCCTCTGGTCAGGAATTTACTATGAGTAACAATGACCCATCAAAACTGTGAGGCAGGAGATTAGGGTGTGGCCAGCTGGCTGGACAAGGGGATGTGACCTGTCCATTGCACAGATCCAGCACACATGTACAGAAAAAATAAAACAGTTTGCACACCCTCACAAGGGACCTATCAATGCTATCTTCCATTCTCCTGGCACAAGAGCAGGCAAGTTTTTGATAGAACAGCCTAGATCTAAGGTCAGCCTGAGAAACAGGAGATGCAAAGACACCGGCCATTAACCTCGTGGCCACTGTGTTTCTCTTTCTCAGTGACCCATTCACTCTAGAGCTTACTTGTTTTCCTACCTTTAATAAACATAAAGCCTCACTACCTTTTGCACCTGCCTTGTGCAGTTCTTTGTTCAGGACAACAGAAACCTAGAAAGAATCTCTGTTCCCACAGGCCCAGGGGAACAGTTGTGCTGTCCACAAACTGACCCTCACGCCGCTGTGAGTGCTCAGTGTGGGTCACAGGCAGGCCCAAGGAGCCCGAGCAGGAGGGAGGGTCAGCCCAACTTCACATGTCATCGGGACTGCAAGAGGAAGTGCCTGGCACAAGCTCAGCCCTGCACACTCATGGTGGCCGTCCCCATGGACACTGTGTGTCCCTCACTGCCCCTGTCCCTTTCAGTTCCTCCAGGTCAGGAGCCAGATCTTCTCTGCCTTTAAGCCCCAGCACGTAGCAGATCCCAAAGAAATATTCGCTGAAAGGATAGCTGCAAGAATAATTTCCTTTTTCTCTCTATGGATTTTGGGTTTGAAGTGGAGAGAACTCTTCCAGCAGGGCCTCTGCTTCCAGCCTGAACAGCACATCAGGAGGACGGAACTTCAAGACCTCCTCAGATAGGGGTGGGGGCTTTTATGGAGCGGAGCCATCAGGGAGGTGTTCTGCATTCCCAGAGTTGGTAACGGAGCCCTCTCCCCCTACTTCTTCAGGACTTGCTAAAGGACAGCTTGCTCCCGAGGTATTGCTGCCTATTTTCCACCCAACACAAACTGTGCAAGTGAGTAGCGCCTGGTGTTTATCCACCCTGGGAATTCCTAAGAAGCTATGTTAAAAAAGCAAAGGACTCCAAAAACAGAGGAAAGAGTCTGGGTTGAGTCCTTTAACTAGAAAACAACAGTAAGCGTCTCCTCCTCCTGCTCCTGCCATCTAATTTCAGATGTTGGGCTTGGGTCATTTTCCTTTTACTGAAACTGAACTGAGCAGCTTCTCCTTGCTGTTAAGAAGCCTGTATATGCTCCAGCTAAAGGCTGTTCAACTGCTGGCTCATGAGGAGATAAGGAGCTCACACCAGAATGTAAATCAATGCCTGCTTCCTTCTCCGACAGCCTTGCAGAGGAAAAGAAAAAAAAAGAAAAAAAAAGAAAGCTTAGCCAAAGAGTGTGTGGTTAATGCTGAAGCTGACATCCATCTGGATACAAAGGGGTCAAAGGCCAGCACCCCCGGGGATCACACCCTGAGAAGCATTGTTCTAGTTTAAGACACCCCACCTGCATTGACACTGGGGATGGACTGTGTTAGGGAATTGATCATGTTAAAGTATGCTGTGACGCCGCCTCACAGGCTGCATTCTCCTGGTACATCTTGGCTCCTAAAATGACCTCATGCCCTTATCTCTGGTTTCCCTCCCCCCACCCCCAAGGCCACAGTGGTCCAGGAAAGTTGAAACCTGTGTCTGCAGGACTGGGCCCATAAAAGCAATCTGGCCTGTGATAGGTTAAAAGTAGCTCACTCCTCATAAATAAGCAATAGCCCACCCCAAAACTGATAAAAGGACCTTCCTTTCTTTCTTTCTCTCTCTCTCTCTCTCTCTCTCTCTCTCTCTCTGCCTTCCTGCCTCCTGCTCGCCTCCCTACAATAAAGATCTCCTGCCGGACCTCTCGGTGCGTGAGTGGCCTAATTGGGAAGGGGCACCCGAAAGGGCACACAAACCCCCCTTTCAGACTGAGTCTCACTGACCATCCTGGGGAGACAACCAAGCCAGGACCCTGAGCTGGCCCACACCCTCTGGTCAGTTTTCCAGTCAGGGACAGGCAGTGGCTCAGACTGAGCCTGTGGCTCATGCAGGAGAAGATGGTCTCCACTAAAGTTATGAGGCCGTGAGCCCCAGTGAACAGTGCCCAAGAGGGGAGGGCCTGGCTGTGTAATGGGGAAAGACAAAGAAGAGAACGAAAAGACAAAGAGAGAAACAGGACTGAACACCGGACCTTGAACTTGTGATCCTCCTGCCTCAGCCTCCCAAAGTGCCAGGATTACAGCCCAGGAAGAAACTGGATCTGTTTTTTGTTGTTGTTGTTGTTGTTTGTTGTTGTTGTTGTTGTTTGTACTGGGGATTGAACTCAGGACCTTGCACTTACAAGGCAGGTGGCAGAACCACTGAGCTAAATCCCTGGCCCAGAAAGTTTATTCTGAGTATGGTACTAAGACCTCTGGATCAAGCCATGGGTACTCTACAAATTTTTATTATACAAACCAGTAAGCTCCTTTTGCTTAGAGGAGTTGGTGCACTTACAGTCTTTGCAGTCAAAAGAGTAGAAAGTTACATTTGACCATACCCTAGGTGCATTAAAAAATCCATTTACACTGGTCCTAAAGAAACAAATCTGCAAAGGTGTAAGGTGGGGAGTCCGAAGAGCTGCCACTACCTCAGACAATAGGCTACTTAGCAGCTGGTCTTCGGCCAGGTGACTGGCATCTGCCTCCCTCATCACAGGTTTGGTGACTGTAAGAATAACAGAAAAAATACAAAGCAGCCAGGCCTGGTGGCGCACACCTACAATCCCAACTCAGGTGGCTGAGGCAGGAGAATCGCTGCTAGTTCCAGGCCATCCTAGGCTACAGAATGAGCTCAAGGTCAGTCTGAACTACACAGCAAGATTGTTTCAAAAAGCCATACCCCCCAAAAGGAAATTGCTCTGGAAGCTGAGGAAGCACAATACCTTACTCAACCTCCAAAATTATGGCACCCTTCACAACCAGAGCCTAGAAGAATTGTAAAGCCTCGGTGTTTAGCAAACCCTCTACACTACTCTGTGCTTTGCAGAAGAAACATGCCCTGTGGGCCAAAAGGTGAAAGGGTGTCAGCAGATTCAAAGGGGCCAGCAGTGCCAGAAGCCAAGAAGCCGAGAAGCCAAGGAGCCGAGGCTGGTGAGGTGGTGCGAGCTGAGGGCTGAGCAGCTACAGCTCGGTTCCAGCCCACCCAGCAAGCCCATCGTCCCACCTCTCAAGTTTATGAATCAGAGGGGAAAATGGAGATTTTGTTGCGAAATTACATTCCTGACCACTATTTTGCAACCCTGGAGCTGATGGAGCAATAACACTGTTGGCCAGTTAGGTGGGTTCCATTTGTTTGTAATGTTTTTGTACTCAGGATCTCAGGGACTAACATAACACAGACACTATAAAAAGATGGAATTATTTTGCAAGTTCTGCATTTTTCCAAAAGTCAGAACACAGAACATTTTCTGAAGATTAGAAACAGTTCACAGACAGGGTACAAGCAAGGAACAAGGGCATCTTCCAGCAGAAGTGGTTTCAAAGCATTCTCTTTTGATGGTAAAATAACGTTTGGCGTTTTAAATAATGTTCCCTGGAAACAGCTTTGTTCTTCAGCCCCTACGTACTCACTGGCCACACTACCAATGGGCAGAGAAGAAGGAGCAGGCTGAGCCCTCCCCCTGCTCCCGTGGTCGCCTGCAGTGGGGAAGGGAGCTGCCAGTCTAGGTCGGGGGAAGCCACCCAAGCAGGACCTGACCCTCACAGGCTACTAAATCCCACTCCTCTCCTGCTTCTCCAACGATGCATTCACCTTCACCAATGGTGAGACAAGCTGGCCTGTGCTGGTCAGCTCTACCCGCTGCTGGGATCAAATACTTCACAGCCATCGCTTAAAGGAGGAAATGATTTGTTTGGTTTATGGTTTCTGAGGGCCAAGTCCGTGGACAGTCGGATACAGAGCAGGAATGTCAGGGCAGACCGGCATGGTGCAGCAAAGCCACTCACTTCCCCGCAGCCAGGAAGCAGAGCACAGGAGAGGACATCAGTAAGTTATAAACACCAACCAGAGATATGCACCCCCGTGACCTTCCTCCATCACCTGGGTCCAACCTCTTAACAGCATGTGCAGCTATGGACAACAGTGTACCCACTGGTGAGTATAGAGCCTCGTAATCCAATCAAGATGACCATTAAGATTAACTGGCACACAGCCCTGTCCAGTTTTCCTACTTGTCTTCAATTGTATGAAAGTGAGGGAAACGTCCAATGTTGGCCTAAGACTTCCTGTCCGATCGAGTATAACGAGTATTAAAGCTGATGCTTTGCCCTCCATTTGCTGGTCCCAGGAAGAGTGAGTTAAAAGGTAAAGGGGAAGAGGAAGGAGGAACTGACCTCCAACCCTAACACTTACCAGTCTGGACAGGGCCCTGGACCCCGCATAGATCACACCCACAAACAGCACGCAGGCCGGAAGCCACTTCAGCACGTCAGATCTGAAAGAGGGGGAGGAGTCATATTTTTGTTACTTTATGTTGAGAAAGGCCTCGCTGGAGGGGCTAATCCCCTCCAGAGCACCAATTCCAACCACATAAGTTGTCTCAATATCCTTAAGGGAATTGTTAAGTGAGATGTGGGGGTTTTTGTTTTTATTTTGTACTAAGGATTGAGCCAAGGAACTTCACACCGAGCAACATCAGCAGCCTTTTTTTTGGAGAAAAGGTCTCACTCAGTCCTTGGTTGCCTGCCCAGGCTGGGCTCAAACTTGAGATCCTCCTGCCTCAGACCTCAGAGTTAGATGGAGGAGGCCTCCTTGCTGCAGGTTGGGAGAGAGAACACATCTGATTTTTCCCACGAGTGGCAATTTTAAGTAGGCCAGTAAAGTTATTTAAAGGCTATTTACTCAGGATATAGCAAACAGCTAGACGGAACCACAACAAAAAGAAGCACAGAATTAAAGGAATTTTTTTTTTTT